TATATATATATATATATATATATATATATATATATATATATATATATATATATATATATATATATATATATATATATATATATATATATATATATATTTATATATATATATATAATCCATTATTTAACATTATTTTATTGTCTTGAATAAACAGCCATGTTTAGTTAATGAACAAATGAAAAATTTCTGGTGCTCATTTTTAGTACAGCACAAATTCCTAAACAGACATAGACATCATCTTCTGTCTGACAGAAATAATTTGTATTCTGACCTGAGTTAAAACTCTGTCCTGAATCAACCAGCTCATCTATTTTCCATCCATGTTGACTAAAGTAATTTGTTGCTGTTTCGGCATTTCATCACTATCTGAAACGATCAGTTTAACCACAATACCTGCTCGTTTGAACTCTCGCATAGTTATTTTTAGAGCATGTATGCAAAGCTATTGGACACGGAAGAGCACATCAACTCATAAACACTCTCTGTGTCGATGATAGAGAGCAGATAGAAGAACCCCAGTGGCGTTACTCCCCTGCATGCACACATATGTAGCTAAAATCATTATTATTAACCCCCCTTAGAATTTTTCTTTTCTTTTTTTTAATATTTCTAAATTATGTTTAACAGAGCAAGGACATTTTCACAGTATGTCTTATAATATTTTTTCTTCTGGAGGAAGTCTTATTTGTTTTATTTCGGCTAGAATAAAAGCAGATACATTTTTTTAAAAAACATTTTAAGGTCAATATTATTAGCCCCTTTAAGCTATATATTTCTTTTGATAGTCTACAGAACAAACCATCGTTTTACAAGAACTTGCCTAATTACCCTAACCTGCCTAGTTAACCTAATTAACCTAGTTAAGCCTTTTAATGTCACTTTAAGCTGTATAGAAGTGTCTTGAAAAATATCTAGTATAATATTATTTACTGTCAACATGACAAAGTTCAAATACATCAGGTATTAGAAATGAGTTATTAAAACTATTATGTTTAGAAATGTGCTGAAAAACACAACTGTATTGAAAGATCTGTTAAAGTGTGAATAATCTGAACAAAATAAGAGCGATCATACAAATTGCATGTTATTTTTTATTTAGTACTGTGTAAGATGTTTTACATAAAAGATGTTTACATAAAGTTCACAAACAAAAACACTGAAATTATTAAAATAATTCCCTGCAAAAGTTTATAGACCCTTTTTCTGCTTTGCGATGGTTGTTCTGAACAGTCAAACTTCAGAAAAATCCTCCATGTGCTGCAGATTCTCTAGTTTTTTAGCGTCTTCTGCAGATTTGAACCCTTCCCAGCAGTCACTGTATGATTCCTTTTTTCACTCTAAGGGTAATTGAGGGACTCAAACAAGGTTTTAAACCCTCACTGATGATGCTCCAGAAAGAAACACCAGGCATTAAGAGCCAGGGGTGAAATATGTAAAATATCCTCCTCAGGACAGTAGTAAATAAAAAAAAATAACATCTCTCATATTTTGTTCAACATTTGTCTCGCGAACGCCATTCACGGCTGCTGTTCTCACATAAATCCATTAGAGGCTGTTGTGTACGCGTTTTCAGATCTCAAATTTCTCTCGCGAGTGTCATTTGCACCCGCTGTTCTCGCATAAATCCACCAGAGGCCGCTGTGTATGCTTTTTCAGATCTCAAATTTCTCTCTCGAGTGTCATTCGCGCCCGTTGTTTTCGCCTTAATCCACTAGAGGTCACTGTGTTCGCTTTTTCCGTTCTCAAATTTCTCTCTCGAGTGTCATTCGTGTTTGTTGTTTTCGCCTTAATCCACTAGAGGTCACTGTCAACTGACTGACTGACCCTTGTCATGCTCCTTAACCCAACCAATAGTGTTTTCAAAAGCAATCCAGAAACAGAAAGACCTCACCTGATTTTCACAACGTTTTCAGATTTTAACGACATTCTCACCCTGTCATTTACTTGTTTAGTTTATTTTTTGGCTTTTGTTTTTGTTTTACCTGCTTTCTGGAACCGTTCTTTGCCAGACTCGAACCTCGTCATCACTGTCAATTCCACTTTGTGTCTCAAATCCTCTGACGCACATAATGAGCCTCTGGACAAACTACTAACAATGGAAAAGCCGTCCATATGGAGGTAATCAGCCCATAGCCCCATAGTCCATAGCGCTCATCTTAAAGACAAAATGCAGCCATACGTACTTATGGCTACTCCAGAAATGTATACATGGCTACGCTTTCAGAATGTGCATATGTTGATTAAACATCATTAAGGAAATATTTGAAAAATTCAAAATTAAATAAAATAAGGACTATTAATTTTGACTTCAACTGCACATAAATATAATATAATATGATCACACACTATTTTATTCACATTTTAACAGATCCTTCAAGGGGTGTGTAAACTTTTGAGCACTAAGGACTAGGATGCTCCAACTAAAATACTATTTTTTTAAGAAGTACATTGTTTATTGTTTTAAGTTTTAAAAGTTAAATATATTTTTGTAATTGAATTATTTGAATGAAAACAAAATAATTGAATAGGATTTTTTGAAATACCGTAGCTTCTTTCATTCTGGCTTTTACTGTGGCTAAATGAACTAATAAAATATGAAATAATAGATTGTTTAAAATGTGTAGTAATGCACATAAACTTTAGAAAGTGTAACATCCAGGATCATGAGATGATTGCATTGTTGTCTTTTAAAATGTACAGATTGACTCTGAAAGGTTTCACACTAGAGATGTGACACAGGATGTAAATTCATGTTAATTTTACGGCATTAACAATGATAGGATTTTTTATTGACACCTCATTTTCACAAGGGTCTATTTTAAGACATCTGAATACACCCATGTTTTACAGAAGTAACACTACTAAAGTGACTGAATTTTCACTGAGCTTTCAAAATTGGTGTTAAAGCATCTTTTAAGTTCTTTAAAGGGACAGTTCACCCACAAATTAAGGTTTCATTTACTCACACTGACTATGAAATTCTTCTGTTAAACACAAAAGGAGATTCTGTAGAATGCTGAAACAAACAACAACAACCCCTGACACTCAAAATAGGACTTTAGCTGCTTATTCAAACTACTTATTTATAAATGAGTTAAATCAACACAATTCTTGAGATTTTTATCTTAATTGTTTTATGTTTAATCCAGTTAAATTTGTAAAAACAATTAATTTACCTTAACCAGTTTGTGTTGAGACAACATGAAAGAATTGTGTGGAACCCAGACATTTTTTACAGTGTTGAAAAAAAAGGATACAAGAGAACTCAATGGCTGTTTCTTCAGTATATCTTCCTTAAAAGAAAAGTCAAACAGGTTTGGAACAAGTGGAAGATGAGTAAATGATGACAGAATTGTAGTTTCTGGGTGAACTGTCCCTTTAAGTTAATGGCTGATGCTCGTGTTTCAGGTGTATGAAGCAGAATCTGTCGAGCAGAAGGTTTATGTGGACGAGTCTACATTTGAACCTCAGACCGATTATACAGTGCGTGTGAGATCACGGCCTGATCAAGTGGATTATAAAGGTGTATGGAGCCCGTGGGGACCTGCATTACTCTGGAGAACAGGAGACATTCACAGTAAGTCAGTCTCTAAATGTATTAAATTCAAAAACACTGATTCATTCAATAATGAAACAAGCAGAGTCTTCACTGAATCAATTACTCAAATGGTTTGTTCAAAAACACTGATTCATTCCTTAATGAAACAAGCACGCTCTTCACTGAATCAATTACTCAAATGATTCATTACAAAACAATGATTCATTCATTAATGAAACAAGCACGCTCTTCACTGAATCAATTACTCAAATGATTCATTACAAAACAATGATTCATTTATTGATAAAACAAGCACGCTCTTCACTGAATCATTCACTCAAATGATTCGTTCAAAAACATTGATTCATTCATTGATGAAACAAGCACGCTCTTCACTGAATCATTCACTCAAATGATTCCTTCAAAAACAATGATTCATTCATTAATGAAACAAGCACGCTCTTCACTGAATCAATTACTCAAATGATTTGTTCAAAAACACTGATTCATTCATTAATGAAACAAGCACTCTCTTTACTGAATCAACTACTCAAATGATTCATTACAAAACAATGATTCATTAATGAAACAAGCACGCTATTTACTGAATCATTCTCTTAAAAGATTGGTTCAAAAACACTGATTTATTTATTCATGAAACAAGCACACTCTTCATTGAATCATTCAGCCAAATGATTTGCTCAAAAACACTGATTCGTTCATTGATAAAACAAGCACGCTCCTCACTGAATCATTCACTCAAATGATTGGTTCAAAAACACTGATTCATTCATTGATGAAACAAGCACGCTCCTCACTGAATCATTCACTCAAATGATTCCTTCAAAAACACTGATTCATTCATTGATGAAACAAGCACACTCCTCACTGAATCATTCACTCAAATGATTCGTTCAAAAACACTGATTCATTCATTGATGAAACAAGCACACTCCTCACTGAATCATTCACTTAAATGATTCGTTCAAAAACACTGATTCATTCATTGATGAAACAAGCACGCTCTTCACTGAATCATTCACTCAAATGGTTCATTCAAAAACACTGATTCATTTATTGATAAAACAAGCACGCTCTTCACTGAATCATTCACTCAAATGATTCCTTCAAAAACACTGATTCATTTATTGATGAAACAAGCACGCTCTTCACTGAATCATTCACTCAAATGATTCGTTCAAAAACACTGATGCATTCATTGATGAAACAAGCACGCTCTTCACTGAATCATTAACTCAAATGATTCGTTCAAAAATTGATTCATTATTGAATGAAACAAGTGTTCTGTTTTTGAGTGAGTCATTGAATTATTCACTCAACAAATCATTAAAAGATAACCGCGGGGATTACACAGGCATCTGGAACCCACAGTAAAGCCATGTCTACACATATTTTTATAAATATATTATTTATAAAAATAAGTGATATTTTTTCACTTTTGTTTTAAAAGAAATGAAGGGGCATAATGACACGAGTAAATTTGCATAAAGAATGCACGAGTAAATTTGCATACAAATTAATGCAAACTTGGATTACCGTCCCACAGGCCAATGACATGAAATATGCAGTGCGTTCGCCTCATATGTGCGGAATTTTGCCTCATTTCCATTTCAAAGTCAAAAGTTTCAGATTTAGTCAGCTGACACTGCGTTTTCATGTGGACAAGCGGCAAAACCGCATACAAAAAGTGCAGTTTTGAAAATACCCATGTTTAAGTGGATTTTAGCTAATTAAAACTACGACTAAAACTGTTGGTCAAAAACTTTTTTGTTAACTGAAATACTGAAGTAACTGAATGATCATTTCGGTCTGAATAACAATCATAAAGGAAGGATCAAACCATGATTGTACTGTAAATAAAAAGAATCTAAACTTGTGTGTTTCAGAAGAGAGCCCAGAAAGATCTTTCCACGTAGCCTGGTATTTTCTGTTTTTGCCACTACTTCTGGTTCTACTGTCCTGTATCCCGTACTCTAGGTCAGACATAGCATCTATTTCCCTGAAAATTGTTCATTTCATCTGTTTGTGTTTATGTAAATCTTTATTATGGATGTTTGTGCTGTAGATGGAGGAAGGATGATTATGTACCATCACCAGCTCCTTATTTCAGAGACTGGGATTTAGATGTTCAGGTAACTTTTTTTTTTTTTTGCATGTTAAATAGTTTCCCGAGTAGATGGAAACTGAGGTTTACTGAATAACTGTATGTTCGCATGTATATATGTATATAAGTGTATTTATATTTGGAAATGCTGGTGCATTCAAGAGTCAAACAAGACCATTTTTACGAGTCACTGAATCATTCACTCGGTCAGTTCCAAAACAAAGAGATTCGTTCATAAGCGAAACAAGATTCTTCATGAGTCCATGAGTCACTGAATCATTCACTCGGTCAGTTCCAAAACAAAGAGATTCGTTCGTAAGTGAAACGAGATTCTTCATGAGTCCATGAGTCACTGAATCATTCACTCAAATTATTTGTTCTAAAATAATGATTCATAAGTAAACAAAATAAGTGTTTTGCCTTTAGTCGTTGAAATATTCACTCAGCAGTTAATTTAAAAATGCTGATTCATATATGACCATTCCTTTTATGAGTGTCACTATATAATTGTTGTCTTTTTAAGTGAACCACTGAAATGTTCTTTCAATTATTTATATTTTTATTTTTTTTAAATTCATTTAGTGACTGATTTGCTTAAAAATGCTGATTATTTCACAAAGGAAACAAGTCTTTTCTTTCTGAATAAGTCACTGAATTATTTGATTCAGAAGTACTGATCCATTCAGGAGCAAAACAAGCAAAATAAGTCAGTCACTGAATCACACAAACTGAAGTCTTCAATTAATTTATTCTAAAAGTTTAAGAACAAAACAAGTGCTCTGTTTAAGGAGTCACTGAATTATTAGCTTAATTTGTCATAAAACACTAATTAGTTCCCTCATTAAAACAAAAACACTGATTCATTCAGAATCTAAAAAAGTGAATCTCCTAACCTCTGAATCATTCGGAGAAGTAAAAGACATACAATACCTGACAAAAGTCTTGTCATTGATCCCAGCTGTAAGAGCAACAAATAATCATTTGACTTCTAGTTGATCATTTGGAAAAGTGGCAGGAGGTCAATTTTATCGTTGAATCATCTGTTGAGCTGCATCCTAATCATCACAAATACTGCAGAAGACCTACTGGAACCAGCATGGACTCAAGATTCTCAGAAGATTCTCAGAGACTCCAGAAATCAGTCAAGTTTGGTGAAGGAAAAGTCATGGTTTGGGGTTACATTCAGTATGGGGGCGTGCGAGAGATCTGCAGAGTGGATGGCAACATCATCAGCCTGAGGTATCAAGACATTTGTTCTGCCCATTACATTACAAACCACAGGAGAGGGCAAATTCTCCAGCAGGATAGCGCTGCTCCTCATACTTCAGCCTCCACATCAAAGCTCCTGAAAGCAAAGAAGGTGCTCCAGGATTGGCCAGCCCAGTCACCAGACATAAACATTATTGAGCATGTCTGGGGTAAGATGAAGGAGGAGGCATTGAAGATGAATCCAAAGACTCTTGATGAACTCTGGGAGTCCTGCAGGAACGCTTTCTTTGCCATTCCAGATGACTTCATTAATCAGTGATTTGAGTCATTGCAGAGATGTATGGATGCAGTCCTCCAAGCTCATGATGGAGTCAGACACAATATTCATTCTGTCTCCACTGCAGCAGGACTTTATATTCTATACTGGACATTATTTCTGTTCAGTGACAAGACTTTTGTCTAAGCAAAGTCAGACCTTACTGTCCTAATTAAATCATTCAAAATCAAGACATGATCCTATTTTATTTTGGTTAAATAAGCGTAATCTAGAGGTCTTTTATATAAGCCACTTCTAACACCAAACAATCAACTAGAAGTCAAGTTATTATTTGTTCCTAAAACTTGGATAGGCGACAAGACTTTTGTCAGGTAGTGTATATACTGCAAGCTCAACATTTAATACAGAGAAAGTATTTGAAAAGTGTATGATCTACTTCTATTTTCACACAATACTAATATATATTTCATTCATTACAAACAAAACATAGTTTATTTGAAGTTTAAAGCTGAAGTAGGTTTTAGTTTGGTTTATTGTATTAATCATATCATCATCACACTATTTTTCATGGTTGAAAACCAGAAATCTTTGTCTTGACATTTCCTCTGTCAAAATTGCTGAAAAGAAACTTTCACAAATCAGATACGAGAAGGATATCAATAATGGTTTTAGCGGCGTATTATCAGATTTAAGATTTCAATCATGTTTCTAGCCTTGCGAAACCCAACTGTGGACTCCAATACCACAAAATTAACTAAAGCTGCTTCTAGCATTGGTTTTAAAGGGACAGTTCGCCTAAAAATTGAAATTCATTTACTCTCCCCATACTTGTTTCAAACCTTTTTAGTTTCTTTCTTCTGTTGAACACAAAAAAAAAAAGATATTTTGAAAAATGTTGGAAACCGGTAACCATTCACTTCCACTTATTTTTCCTACTATGGAAGTCAATGGTTACAGGTTTTCAGCATTCTTCAAAATATCCTCTTTTCTGTTCAGCAATGTTTGGAATCACATGAGGGAGAGTAAATAATAATGAACTTTTCATTTTAGGGTGAACGATCCCCTTTAACGATTAACCAGTGTGTGCTTTCAGATGTGTTCAGCGCTGTCGGGTAAGGTGTGTGATGTCATGCAGGGGGAGGAGTCTCTAAAGATTGACAGGCTGACAGGGTGCACAGCCACGCCCCTTCAGCAGACCGCACTAGATTATGAGAAGATGGGAGTGATTGACAGGCAGGATGCCACACCCCCATCTCCCAGCATGCCTCACTCTCCTGTGGGATCAGAGGTGGATTCGGGATGCTGGATTCGGGATTTCGTGCCCACTGAAGGAGGAAGCATCACATGCAGCGAGGATTACTGCACACTGTCCAGCACATACACACAGACAGCGTCTGAACCAGTCACAGAAGCGGCAGCTGTTTTTAACCAATGATCAAATCTGCATATTTCTGAAATATCATGACACAGAAAACTAGAGAAATGATGCTGAAAATTCTGCTGTAAAATTAATGACATTTTTTAAACATACTGAAATACAAAACAGCTTTTTTATATTGCAATAATATTCAATTGTTGTATTTTACATCAAATAAAGGCAGCACTGAGCAGCAGCAGTCTCGAAAATATTTTAGAATCTCAAAATTATATGTAGTAAAGGATTACATTACAAATACACTCACCGGCCACTTTATTAGGTACACCTCGTTAGTACCCCTTTTGCCTTCAGAACTGCCTTAATGATTCGTGGGATAGATTTAACAAGGTACTGGAAATATTATCCAGAGATTTTGCTCTATATTGACATGATAGCATCACGCAGTTGCTGCAGATTTGTCGGCTGCACATACTTGATGTGAATCTCCCATTCCACCACATCCCTGAGGCGCTCTATTGGATTGAGCTCTGGTGACTGTGGAGGCCATTTGAGTACAGTGAACTCATTGTCATATTTAAGAAACCAGTCTGAGATGATTCATGCTTTATGATGTGGTGTGTTATCCTGCTGGAAGTAGCCATCAGAAGGGATGGACATGGTCAGCAACAATACTCAGGTAGGCTGTGGCGTTGACATGATGCACAATTGGTACTAATGAATCCAAAGAAAATCTCCCCCACACCATTACACCACCACCAGCAGCCTGAACCGTTGATAAAAGGCAGAATGGATCCTTGCTTTCATACTGTTGATGCCAAATTCTGACCCGACCATCCGAATGTAGCAGCAAAAAAATGGAGACTCAGAGCAGGCAACGTTTCTCCAATCTTCTATTGTCCAGTTTTGGTGAGTCTGTGTGAATTGTAGCCTCAGTTTCTTGTTCTTAGCTGACAGGAGAGGCCCCTGGTGTGGTCTTCTGCTGCTGTAGCCCATCCGCCTCAAGGTTTGATGTGTTGTGCGGTGTCAGAGATGCTCTTCTGCAGACCTCGAGTACTTATTTGAGTTACTGTTGCTTTTCTATCAGCTGGAACCAGCCTGGCCATTCTCCTCTGACATCATCAAGGCATTTGTGATTGGCTGATTAGAAATTTGCGTTAACGAGCAGTTGAACAGGTGTACCTAATAAAGTGGCCGGTGAGTGTATTCATATTGTATATTTATCACCTTTGTGTTTTGCTGCCAAGTCAATTTTTACATAACCTGCTAAATGCTTTGCATGAGCATATCCACCTAAATAGAATCATCATTGATGGTTTGGTTTTGTGAATTCATGCCTCTACAATTCAATGTCTTTAATAAGTTCTTAAAGCGGAGTAGAAGGTCTTATTAAAATGTAATAGCATTAAATGTTGCACGTACTGCAAAACCTCCACACTATCACTGTTTACCAGTAGAAAAAAAAAGTTTTTCAAGTGCACGCATTATACTAGTAAGTTTTACACTTTTAACCCTTTTTCAGGTGAGGTCTTATGTCACGTATAGGTATATTTTGGTGACAGTTAAAAATACATTGCATTTCTTCATAATATCAGCAGAAAACAAATCTAAAATGAGATATCAGATGCCGTGTTAAAAGAACACAACCAAACAAACAAACAAAGAACCTTTTAATCTATTTATATTTTTACACTTGTACTTGTATTGAAATGTTGTAATTAAAGATATATCACAATGCTTTTGCTGTCGGTTTCTGCATTTTGCGGTTATGAACGTTCTGAATTCTGTTTAAGTAAACATACAATACGCCTGAAGCATCGGTTTCTTCTATGTAGAGGAATTAAACATGATGAGGATATGCTGCTGATTCTCTCATTTTTTTTAGGAAACTGCAGAAATGAAGGTGCCGCCACATTTAAACACCCCTTTGGTGTGTGTGTGTGTGTGTGTGTGTATATATATATATATATATATATATATATATATATACATTTTTTTTAAATAGTGTAAAAACAAGTAAACTACTTGTATCAATACACTTTTTTTTATGAAACAAACTTTCTTTTAAAAAAAAATGTTTCTTAAAAGTTATAAAAAGTATAATAAACAAAATCTACATGGAGAACTTTTAAAGACATTTTATTTTACGGAAAATAATTAAACCATTACGATAAAGAGTTAAAAACAGCCTTTTAAAATAAAAAGTTAAAAGTTTTATTAAGATGTATTGATGATTGTATGGGTGTTAATGGCCAGATAACCAGTTAAACTCTGCTGCTATTTTGGGATTTCCGCCTGGATTTTGCCTACCCAAAATTAAAAGCTTCCCACCACTTGCCGAGGTGTAAATGCAAAAATTTGGTTTCATTTTAAAGAAAACACTTTGAATTTTCATAAAACACCATTGAAAGTGTTTAAAATAACTGTATATATCGTCTGTGTTATAATAAACATCTAAAAAAAGAGGCGCTTTTTGTATTTTGTTTTTCATAAACTCAAATTTGAAAGTGTACCTTTTAGGTTCTGTGTGGTCTAGTGTGCTGTAATTAATTTAGTTGGTTCCTGCACATGTCTGTAATCATAGGAAAAAAGAAAAATGTCTCCACTATAATCTATACAAAGGTTATTGCATTCCAACTGATGAGAGGTGCTGTACAAGCCACAGGGATCGATCATTGTTTTCATATTTCACTATTCTGTTGTTTGATCAAACATAATTCACTGTGTTTGGACCACATCAGACATATAAAAGATTTACTTATGCACATCACCTTAAAAACAGAGGAGAAATGATCCTGAAGCGCACAGCATAAGGTAAGAGATGACAGCTGTCTGTGCTATCTGGGGCTGCTTATTGATCATGGATGTATTGCTTTTATTTCTGCACAATGGAAACACCATGATTCATTCAACAACTGTTTAATATGTGAATATAATTCAGTATAAAGAATGCTAGAACCGTATGAGCACCGGCAAGAGCTTTCATCTGAGCTATATAACTTGTACATGTGTCATATGTAAAATATGTAAAACAAACCAATGTTCGATTCCCAGCTCAGGTATCCAAAATACTGTGTATTTAAGTGTGAATAACTTTCGTACAGTAGAATAATAAAAAAAGTGATCCATATGTGCATAAAATATAGATTCTACACTTTCAAACAAAACCACATAAGGGGGTCTGGTGCAACGCTAGCCCTTTAAATCTTAAAGCGAAAGTCGATGACGTCACTGACCCGGTAGCGGGTCCGGAGTTTAATTGGTTAAAAAAGATTTAAGACCAACAACACAATATTTCAGTAAACTTAACACTTTAAGGCCTAACATTAGGATTTTGAGATTGAAGACATTTTAAGACCCCGCAGAAACCCTGTATTTTAACATAAGGAAATGTAAAAAAAGAAAAAAAAGGAGACTTGTGTTTATATCACCCCAATATGACTGTGGACACACTAGACCAGCGGTCACCAAACTTATTCCTGGAGGGCCGGTGTCCTGCAGATTTTAGCTCCAATCCTAATCAACACACCTGAACAAGCTAATCAAGGTCTTACTAGGACTGTTTCTCAATATGCGTTCTTCAGCGGTCTTGCGTCCTCGTGCAACGTCATCATCAGCTGCCTAAGTTCAGTTCCAATACTCAAGACCGCAAGTACGGAGGACGCGTGAAACTTCCCGGATGTGATCTTGATATCGAGGACGCACTGATGCAGACTTGAGCACCGAACTCGCTCTGGAAGTCCCAGAAGTCATTGCGACTGGAGATGGGAAGCGCAGCATTTAATTTAGATTTATTATTAAAGTTCAGAGAAATCACTTATTTACCTCAGGAGTTTCCCTAAATGAAACGGTGAAAGTAAACATTAACATGAACATCTTAATAAAGGAATAAACACATTAAGGGTGTTTGTTTGCTGAAATTCATATTAAAATTGGTTTTATTTATATTGTGCAGGGTATATTTATAATGCTTTTATGCAAAGTATATATTTTGAAGAGGGGAAAAACAATAAATCGCTTTTTGAGTGCTGTAATGTTTAAATTATTTCCATTTAAAACGCATGAAGGTCACATGACTATCAGGAAGAGCGCAGCATCCCATTTCTCAAAGGACGCGTTCTCTGCCCTAGCGGTCTCCTGAGTTCGTTCTTCCGAGGACACCTGGCAAGACCGGTCTCCACAAGAACACAAGTCCATTCTCTGCGTTCTTGGAATTGAGAAACAGCCTAGGTATACTTGAATCATCCAGGCAGGTGTGTTGAGGCAAGTTGGAGCTAAACCCTGCAGGGACACCGGCCCTCCAGGACCGAGATTGGTGACCCCTGCACTAGACCTACACACAGTTCTGTCCAAACAGCTTACAAAAGATGACTTTTATCATAAGGTGCCATTTAAAGTTTCTGAAAAATGAACTAAACGTACCCGCAATTCTAGAATCATCCAAATATATAAAACACCCCCAGAGTTAGCATCTTTTGTAGAAAGAGCTTTATTAAACATACAGACACAATCAGTGTGAACACAGGACACATGTTCCCATCAAACAAACAAGAAAAGCATGTACAGCATGTTTAAGAGAAGTGGACTCTGGTTCTGCTGCTCAATGGTGCAATTATCTGGACCGCCAATCTAGACAGATCAGGCTGCTCAAAACACACAAACAGGGCCAACGGAGAGGAAACTGGTCCTAGATCAGCATTCAGAGGGAAAACTTCACCATGAGGCACTAATCCCACATACACAACGCAAAAACACCCAGCATAAACCAGAGTCGCACACACATATACACACACACACACTCACTCTGGGAAAACGGAGCTTTTCACAAACATAATAAAATGACGAGTTCATGTATGCGCGCGCACACACACACAGACTGACACGCCGAACCAATCAAGAGCTAAAATCCCAGCAGTCCATCTGATCGAGAAGGGGAACAGAGCGAATGAAGTGAAGGGGTGTGTGTGCGAGTGTGTGTGTGTGTGGATTTGGAGGATGGTTAGGGATTTGATGGCACAGACGTCATGTTTTAAAGTCCTTTTTTTTTAGTCCCGGTGAGAGGATAGCATGAGTTTTGTTTTTCCACATCTTCCCTCTTTCCATTCGTCCCGTCTCTCGGTGTCGCTTTACGACGGGGAGAACTTTTTGGCCTGTGCACGAACTCTCTTCTCGTACTCCACTCTATTCTGACTGTAAACGAGAGGACGCGGAGCCATCAACACAACAAACCGCTCACAGTCAACATTAAAGTGTAAAAATCAGTCTTAAACACACGTGTGTGTCAGCAGTGTGTGAATATAGCCAGCCTCTAATGGTAGAAATGTAGTCATTTTATTATTTATAATCACACTTGATATAAACAGTC